GCACCCCCTCTAAGGACTCCAAAAAGGGTGGGTAGTCTGAGCTTCAGTTTGGTGCATAAGCACCCATCCCTCACACGTAGGTGGAGAAGAAGAGGAAAAAGAAACAATGTCTTTTAACATACTATCAGCAGATTGGACCAACAAGTATGCCCACTCCTGCTCGTTGCCTCTCAGTAGGGGCCACTCCAGAGTGCTAGTGTCTAGCCCTGCTTGGTTCTGGAGCCAGAGCCATAAGTCGAGGCCAATCCAACTATATCTAGCCAGAACCTCTCAACCTCTCACACATCAAGTCAGTTTTCCCCACCAGAGAGGCGACATTCCACGTCCCAGAGCCAGCTTCTGTAGCCGAGGATCACACCGCCAAGGTTCTTGCCTTCGGCTACCACCCATCTTACATTGCACCCGACCCCTTATGTGGCCCGTGAGATAAATATCAAAAATATATTAAAACTGACCCGCTGGCCGATTTTACCACAAAGACTACAACTCCCATGATGCTTTGCGGCGTTAGCGCGGAGCCGAAGCGCCCCCTCCTTTGTGTTTTTTCCAGCGTCTGCTGCCGGTGTCTGCAGCTCTGCTGCCTCGGACAAACTAAACACTTCTCTCACTCAGCGCCGAGTTCACTCAGCTATTTACCAACGTTGAAGCCCAGAAACGGAGATTTTAACCGCTCAGTAATGTGTTCACGACTGAAAGAGAAAGTTTTCCAACTAACATCCAGACAGAGCTGATATAACTCCAGCGAGCAGCGACACGCTCAAACCAGCATGACTCTGTGGCTGCTGTAGTTGTTATTTTTCCTCCCTGACACACAACAACGTGGTCAAGCTGCTCAGACATGGTCAGCAGCACAAACCTATGTGAGCACCCGTTGTCATCTAATGTTGTCATTATTATGACGAAGATGAACAAAACAACAGGAGTCTCCTCCTCAGCTCAGATCAACCCCATGATGCAGGTATCTGGCTGGAACAGGTGAGCATCACAGTAAACCAGTGGAGCAAACTGAGCTTTAAATATGTTGGTTTTATGCTCTTTTTCTGCTCCAAAACATGAAAGTTAACTGGTGAGATGTTGCATTTTCATTTAAGATAAAATGATATTTTATTTTGTTGTTGGCCCATGAGAAAAGATTTAACAGGAAGTGGAAAGGCTGCAGATAGATGAATAGAATAGAAAATCCCTTTATTGTTCCTCAGTGGGGAAAGCTAGACATCACAGCAGCGATGACACTTATTACAGGAGAAAAAAGGACAATAAAACATAATAAAAATTAATAAACAACAAGAAAACATAAATCCTGAATAGATTTTAAAAATGCTGAATGTTCCACAAGTAATGAATACCACTGATGCCTTTTATTTAAAATGGACTTGCTCGTGTCTAATTTGGTTATTCCACATTCAGTTAATGCAAAAATAAGTTTGTTTCCTAATTAAAAGGTTCAAAATTGCATAAAATGTTGATAAAGAAAATGTGCACATTTGCCGCCACTTTTTCAAAAAATATTAAGTTCGGCCCGCGACTTCGTCCCAGATTTTCATTTCAGCCCAGTGTGACTTTGAGTTTGACACCCCTGCCTTAGCCCCAGTGGCGGATCTAGGATTTTTCTGAGGGTGGGGCCATCAAGGGGCCACAATATTTATAGAGGGGCCACGAACAGTCCAACATACTTGCATACTATTCCCAGTTTTGTATGGTAGATACAGTTTACCCCAACACCATGTTGAAAAACATCAATGCAATTGTACATCAATTTTTACTGTACATTGACAAAATACAACCACACACAGCATTTGAGAAATTTTAGCATTCAATTTTGCAAAGCCACAAATATCAGGTTAAAATATGTTTGTGTGTGGAAAAAACACCAGAAGAATATCACAGGGCCCTCTGCTCTTGACTGGGAAATGTCTGGTGGGAAGTCAATTAAATAAGTCTGAGTCAGTTGCTTATATCTCTCAACCTTTAACATTCATGGCATTCAGAATCTGCAAGTGACTGACTGCAAAATTCAATTAAATTTAAAGAGCCTTTACAAAATGAGAAGCACACCACCAGGTCCTACTGGAACAGAACACCGTTCTGATGTCTGCGCAGGATTCTGTGCATCACACTGGAAGATGTCTGAAAACAGCAAATGAGAAATTATCTAACATAAGCCAAATACATACACAAGCATTTATTACTTTCAAAGATCAATGTTTACCATTTGATCCTGCAGGATTAGTATTGATTGGTGACTCTGGTGGCCCAGCAGGATGGAAGGTTGAGTCATTAACTTCACTCTGGTTGTCTGAATTGGAGAGTCTTGTCCCAGTTTGCAGCTAAAATACAAATATATGTCAAACTCCAGCTAAATCCAGCCAAAACTTTGTTTTCTATGAGACCACATTTTTATTTATTTGAAATTGGAGACTTGAAAGATTGGACTATAAAGATGAGATGTGGTAGATGTAGACAAAGAAACCAATACAATTTAAATCCATTATGTTAATGTTATAGTAAATCACATCATCATGAAGCGGAAGAATTCAGTAAACATATGTGCCATTAGTACAAGATAACATCATTTAACAAATTTGAGATAATGGTGATTTTTTTTATTTTTACCTAGAATAATGGCAGGAAAAGTTGGACTAACAAAGGAATATCCAAAACACAAAATCTCTTTGGAAAACTTAACCTTGACCTTACTTAATCAACCAATTAGAAAATTCAGTGTTTCAAACAAGGACTTTTCCCACACATTTTACAATACATCAAAATGTCACAATTTAGGGAAACCTTGAAGGAATTGTGGGAAAGGAAACTTAACTGCAACATTACTGATGATGAATGGAAAGATGCTTTGAGAAACGTAAAATCATTTACTAAAGGGAAGCAACTTTGCCACTAATGATTTGTCACGATTAACAACTTCTATCAATTTAAACAATAATCCTTTATTTTTGGTGCTTGGAATAACTGACCCAATTATTACTGATAAATATAAAAAGCTCAATGCAAATTTTCTGTGCAAGAAAATGACTCCACATTAACTGGATCAGCTCCAAGATAAAATGGGAAAAGGTTATCCTCAATTATAAGCAGAACACACTGGGCAGCATTAGGTCGTTTATAAGTGGTCAGTCCGTCCTGCTGGATAATGTGGTGCAATCATGATCTTTATACAAAAGATTATGCGATGGCGGTGAAAAGGGAGCTTGGGGGCGGTCTCTGCGCTGCCACGGACTTCAGTTTATCTTGGACATAACTTGCTTTTTATTGCGATCAAAGCCAGACTCATTAAGCTTTTTTAACAAGCCGCTCCAGAAGGTGTCTGTCCCCGTGCAGTCTCTGGTGATCTGAGCTTCAACTCTTACGGAGAGGCACCCCGGCCATCATCTCAGCTGATTCTGTTTAGAAAAGCCAAACTTACGGCCCATGTTTACTTTCATTTTCAATATAGTTGCCGGCCGGAGCTCGGCAGTAACTGCCCACGTGATCATGATACCCCCTTCTGTTGCGCCAAGTTGTAATATGCATTCAAAAGTCCAGCGTTGCGGTGATATTAGTATCAACCGTGGCAGCACGAATGCCACAAAATTCCCGCAACACCATGCCGCCACAGCGCGTTTATATTACACGTACGCTGATTTCCCAGCATGGTATGTCCTACAAGAGGCTGTCTCTCGTGTTTATCTGACATGACTGTTGCACAATAAAGATTATATTCTTTCTGACCTGATAAAGGGGGAATGGAGGTCCCTTGCCCTGTTCCAGCCTCTGGTCCACTGCCTCCTGCTGCTCTCTCTCTGATTTCTCCATGCTCGTTCTCACCAGCTGACACACTCACTCTCTTGGGAAAAAACTGCAGAATTCCCGCCTGTATCTGACCCTTTCTTTTCATGTTCTCTATCAGACAGTGCCAACTATTAACACACGAAATGCAGATTACAAAAGAAGTACATGGATTAGCAAGGGCTAACGTTTTTTCACAAGCCCTTTTTAACATTACCTTTAACTAATGTCGGCATTGCTTTCCATTGGACTTATTGTCAGACTTGACTTACATGGCAACTGTGAGTAAACAGTGATTCGTGACTTACCAACAAACTCCTCATAACGTGGACTCTCATCAGAACCGATGTCGGTTGAAAAGTTCTCCCTTCTTGGAATCTTTCAAATCTTCTTCTGTTGGATTTCACACACTATTTTGCTCCTTAGCGCCACACGGCCACTAGTGTTTGGACTCGGAATTGCATCCACCTATAATCTCATCACCGCACAAAGGACAGATGAGTGACAGGACAGGGGCACTACAGGGGCCAATCATATTTCAGCAGGGGCCAGTGCCCCTGTGGCCCCGCCCCTAGAACCGCCAATGCTTAGCCCCTCCCAGGAGTGGTGAGCTCATGGGAAGGGGGACCCACATTTCCTCTTTGGGCTATTCCCAGCCGGGCTCTGTGGGTGGAAGCCCATCCTCCAGGTGCTCTCCAACGAGCCCCACCTGGCCTGGCTCCAGAGGGGGCCCGGGTGAACCGCGTCTGGGCGAGGGAACACTGTTTCCTTTGATATTATTTATCATAAGGTCGTTGTGCTGCACTTTATCCAATAAAGTTTGTGTTTACATTCACTTTAGCAACAAACACTTGTTTTCCTGCTGTGTCTAAAATGTCACCAATAACACACAGAGTCAGCTGAGCTTTGAGCTCTCTGCTAGATGGATTAGCAGGACGATGTTGGATGATCTAAGTTTCATCAGTTTTTATTCGGAAACATTTATCCGAGTCAAAAAAATCTAACAAAGATGACATTACACTGTAAATAATGAGAGCTCTGTTATCACGCTGCCTATAGAACTGGGACCAGTGGTGCTCTCACTGGTCCCAGCATGTTGCATGCTGCAGGAACAAAGGAGTGAGAACTGATATTATTTACACATTAGATGGAAAAGGGAACATCTACCTGAATGCATCAACGGGAGACCGCTAGTGCAACTGGAATAAAAGGACACGTTTTTAATTCACAAATTTTATTTCATTTCAACACTGATGGACAAAAATTCACTGTTTGACTCTAACCCTGATTCCTGTCACACAGAAAAGCACAGTATGGAGTAATGACCGAGAAGGCAGTTCCTCTGCGTGTAGCAGCTGATCGGGATCCGTGCTCAGATTCAGACACACAGCACACTTACACAACTGCACAAGATGCCCAACAAAACCAATAGTTTCCTGTTGTGTTCAGATTTTTCACCGAGTCTCTTCTAACTGGCTCAAACATTTACAGTCACTCAGCAAATTTCAAATAAAAGTACAACTATAACGATTTATGCCCGTGTGGGTATTTACACACATTAAAGTGAAGATTAGTGTAGAACCTGCCGCTTTTCTTTCATGGCTCAAAAAGAAATAGATTGTCGTCAACTGCAGCAAAACAAAGCACAGCTCCTCTTTTCAAGAAGACTCGTTTTCTAATTTAGAAAAACCGAGAGAATAAAAGCCGCGACACAACCCGACATCCACTAATGCTCAGTAACTGGTCTCTCTTATTCTCCTTGTTCCTCCAGAACAGGAGGAGCTCTCTCTCTGCTTCTGATCCACTCGCTTCTCAAACTTGATTTTACAAACCAACTAAAATAGCACACGATGACAACAACTCTAACCATGACAACAAAAATAATAATTATGGGGAAAGATAGTAATAAATAGGGTTGGTGGAGTTTAAGTGCGGGTAGGTGTGGTGAAACACAGGACGGGGGGGGGGGGGGGGGGGGGCACATAAAGTGACTGATTGGTTGCTGAAGCTCTCCGCCTTCATCCTCTGTTCTCTTGTGGGTAAAGTGAGGAAGAGTGTCAGCTTGGTGTCGATCCCTGCTCTCCATCTCATGATCTCTCAGGTATGATGGACTGGGACATGAACTCGAGTGAGTGGGTGAATGTAACTAGCAGTGGTCTAAATGACTAGAGAAGTGTTACTCATCATCCATCCATCCCATCTTTCTGCCAGAGCATCCAGTCTTCCTCTGGAGCCTTGTTAATTATATCCACACGCCTCTAGAGGCCAGCATGTGGAGAGTCGGTGGTGAACAGGACTGCTACGGAGACTGGAGTGTGATCAGGGTGGCTGCCGTCTTTCCCTCAATGAAATAAAGCTAACCGATGAACAGCAGAGTGCCGTCTACCTCTGCTCTCAGGCAGGATAATGTAAAGTCAGTGTGTTGCCTGAGGATTTGTGGGATGACATCAGTCTCTGAAGGCCTCAGGTGTGTATTACAGCCTGGGGTAAATATCCTAGACTGTAGAGAACTGGATGTTCTGAGTGGCTGTGCTTCGACTTCAGAGAGCAGAGGGCCTCCTCTGCCTGACAAGAGGAAAGCTGTGTGATTGTTTCTCAGAAGAATTGAAAGGCATGAGTAGTAAAAATCTTCCCTGCTTATGCGTGTCTGGAGGAACTATTAACAGATATCTACTGAAACATTGTCACAGTTACACAACCACTTCCCTAAGACTCCTGTCTTCACTAAGGTAAGTTCTCTCCACACATCCGAGACATTGGGCCACTTCAGTCCTGTACAGCTGACTGGCTTCCTGCTCATACCTGCTTAGACATTCCTGTCTCGTGCAGTTTCCGTGTGGCCATCCTCCCTCAGTTCATGAGTTCCCGTGTGTGTGTGTTCTGTTTATTTGTGTTTTGTTTATTTCTGTTTATCAGTGTCTACCTCTGGTAGTCAGTCTGCTCTTGAGGACCTGATGTGGTGTTTGCTGTGACCAGAGCACCCCCAAGCCGGATGTTCCCCTTGTCCTTGCCCTCTTCTTGTGTGACATTGGTCTCTAGGGATGATTGGCCAGAAGCGGAGCTGGAGGAGACTGGAGGCTGGTTTAGTGCCCCCGTACTTCCACTGTTCCCTTCTGTGGTCTGGTAGATGTCCTCAGCTCCGTCCTCACTGGACTCTGGGTCCTCAGAACCTGAGAGCAGCTCCTCCTCTCTGTAGTCACTGACATCAACCCCACCGCTGGCCCCTTCTCCCAGCTCTTTGAGGCGTCCGTGGTGCTTGACATGGTAGCGCTGGTTCTGGAAGAATTTGATGATGGTGTGTTTGGGGAGGTCAAGCTGTGCAGACAAGGTATGAATGGCCTCCTGGTCCGGGTACAGGCCTACATCTTGGATGAAGCTCTGCAGGATACCCAAAGCCTCCAAAGAAATCTGGAATACACACAATCAGGACTAAGAACCAATTCCATTTCCTGGAGTTACCCCCACCCACAGTCTGAAAAATCTCTTTGTCCCTTGCGTCCAAGCTTTCTTCTGACCCACAGATGAGTTTGAACGAACCCCAACACTAACTGAACGGTACCTTAGTGCGTGAGCGTGGCTTCTTGTTGCTTCCGGTGCTACCAACTGTGATGGGGGTACATCCGCCTGCTGCTCCTGCTCCTGCTCCAGCACTCTGTGACCTCTCCTCATTAACTGGAGCAGGTAACGGCTCCTCGTGCATTGGAGAGAGTTGGTGCTCCTTGATTGTAACTGGTGGAGGCCTGTGGAGAACCTGTTGAAAAAGAAGGAAAAGCTGATTAACGGGGCACAGTGACCCCTGATCAACCCCACAGCCTGCAGTGTGACTAACGATGGATCTGTACGGAAGTGTATGCTTTTAATATGCACTGTGCATGTCGGTGTGTTTTATGTGTAGTTAAATACAGCTTAGTTGACTGTGATGCAACACATCCTAAAACAACGAGTAACCTCCGCTCCTCAATGCACAGTAGCCAGGGCTGCAGGGGAACTGAGGGTGAGAGCAAGTATTTTAACGGCTCCAGAGCGTCACGCACCATTAACCTGCTCCATGATTGGGATTCTAACTGCATTCTGTCTGGTATACCTTTGACCCAATGTGTGCAAGATTAGCTTTAGTGAAACGGCAACCAGCTGTCTGCCCGGAAGTGGTATACAGCCTGATCACTATTTAACCATCCTATTCAAAACCTCAGCGGGACAAAGGTGAAATGTCCTCATTTATATTTATTCAACTACATTTGGGGGAGGCTTTGGGACAATGGATTCAAAAACATATTAAGTGTTTTATTTCATTCAAAACCCTCACATAATAATGGGGGGGGGGGGGGGGGTTCTAGTGTTTGCTACATCCATATGTTGACTATAAATGTGTCAGATGTGTTTAATTTTGTATGTCTGCATGTAATCTAAATAATTTACTCATCATTGGCACCTGCTGTTTCTCATACAAACCTCAAACACCCATTAGTTTTACTCTCGGGTTGCTAGAAAAAATGCTCCTGAACTGCAGGTAAACAGCCAATCACATGTGGTTTCCAGGGAGATATGGAGGACTTTTAGCCAATCAGCATAATTTGATTTTGTGTGTCTGGAGCGCTGGCTGAAAGTGCCCCTGCTACAAGAAACAGCTAGCTAGCATGCTAGAAGGTGTTGGATCTTCTTTCTCCTCTCTCTCCCACTCCCTCATTCACACACACACACACTGTTTATTTATATATGGGCTGCATGGTGGCGCAGTTGTTAGCACTGTTGCCTCGCAGCACGAAGGTTGCAGGTTCGAAACTCAGCTGCGTGGAGTTGCGTGTTCTCCCCGTGCATGCGTGGGTTTCCTCTGTGTACTCCGGTTTCCCCCACAGATCACAACATGCCCTATAGGTTATTAATTGTAAGTCGCTTTGGATAAAAGCGTCTGCCAAATAAATAAACATAAACATATAGATCAGAAATTGTGCTGTAGCTGCTGCAGTAAAATGTGTTTGTTCTTTTATGGGATTATAATGTTGAAAAAGTATGTGTGATTCAGTTTCTATCTCGTGTTAGTGTCATCCACTGGTGGAACTGAGTACTGTGTTTTGAGGTGTGCATGCTTTGGGCAGATGATGGTAAAAGATAAGAACACATGACTCAGATCCATCCATCTATCTATCTATCTATCTATGGGGCGACGGTGGCACAGGAGTTAAGTGCTCGCCTCGCAATCGGAAGGTCGCTGGTTCGAGACCCGCTCAGTCTGTCGCTGTCGTTGTGTCCTTGGGCAAGACACTTAACCCACGTTGCCTGGTGGTGGTCGGAGGGACCGGTGGCGCCTGTGCTCGGCAGCCTCGCCTCTGTCAGTGCGCCCCAGGGCAGCTGTGGTTGCATTGTAGCTCATCCCCACCAGTGTGTGAATGTGTGTGTGAATGGGTGACTGACTGATTGTGTTGTAAAGAGCCTTGGGGGGTTCCAGGACTCTAGAAGGTGCTATATCAAATACAGGCCATTTACCATATCTATCTATCTATCTATCTATCTATCTATCTATCTATCTATCTATCTATCTATCTATCTATCTATCTATCTATCTATCTTTCATCAATATCATGTAATTCACAATATTACCAGTAATTCTTTATTCATCATGTTGAGCTAATTTCATGATGTCATTTTATCCTCGACACAATTCATGTGGACTATCGGCACAAAGTCTTTAAAGTTATCAAACAATCACGGCTGGAATCTCAGTTTTAATTCATATCAGCCAGTAGAGTAAAATACGTCTGAGGAAGTTTGGCCTCTCCTGGCTTCCATACCTGTAACCTGGTTACGCAGAGGGGAGGTTTGGCTCGACTGCACATAAACGGGAAAGTCACACCGGTGAAGCGGTGAATTAAAATGTCAGGAGAGGAGGTGTGTGAGTTGAGGTAACAAGTCCGGTTTGCTGTGACGGAGAGGCAGAGTAGCGAGCGAGCATGTGGCTGATGAGTGAAAAAACCTTCGGGGCTGAAGCCCCGCGGTAATCGGCTGGCGACGCGGCTGTGGAAAAAGATTACAAATCTTTAGAAATGTACTGACAGAAAGAACAGCATGGCTGTTGATGTTCCCAAGTGTTGACGCTCAGGGTAAAGAGGGTTAGGGTTAGGGTTAGCCCTAACCCGTAAACCTCCTACTGTAAGAACTGTGGCCAGTGAGAGGTCAGCTTAGCATGCTCAGGCCTCGTGCTGTTCTTAACGCGGCACAAACTTGATCGTAAACACATGGACACAGTCTCTCACCTTGTGAGTTACTTTTATAATGAGCAGCTGGAGGTGATGGGCAGGTAGGGTGGTCATAAAAAGAGGTGTGTTCCCTGGGGGGCCGTGGCAGAAAATAATGTAGGGTCTAAGGCTGGATCTTCTGGCAGCCAGGACTTGCTGAGGGCGGTTTGATGACAGTGAGGAGATCAGGATTAGTGTTGGGAGTCACGAGGGACTTTGGTTGTTTGTCAGAGGGTAGTGAGAACGTTGTGGTCACATCCTGCCCACTGGCTCTAACAACAGGGAGGGGTGTCCCACTGGAATGCCCAGTTATAAATCTGCGGTGCATTGAAATTGGAAGACCCATAAAGATAATAGTGCTTTACTTTTTTCTCCCTGACTTCAATAATAATTGGGTATTACTTAAATAATGCAGTGGGCAGGCCAGACCACGAATTGCTCTGATTTTATTTGCAGGGCCTTATTTTGTGGGAGGAAGGGAATGACCAGTTTACAGGAATCCAACTTTTTATTTCCTCCTCTGAAAGTCATGACTTTGGTTGCTGAAAAACTAAAAGAATGTAGGAAAACCAAGGCAGAGAGACCTATCGACACAGGTCGGGAAAAGAAGAGATTTATTCTGGCTTTAATGAGGACCACACAGTCACATGAACCCCGCACAAACGATCCGAGACTGCTAATAGCTAAATTGGGGGTAAATCATGGAGGGCTATAGAAATCCACCCAACCTCACATACAGACCTTCATTACTTCTTTGCTTGTCTGGGCGGACGGCATTGGATCAATGGCTACAGACACAAACATTAATGGTGAGGTCTGGTATCCCTCATGCACTAATGATGACGTTAGAAAGCCAGAGACAAAAACACAGAGCTCTGAGATGTCTCTCCTCTTCTACCTCCTCCACAGCACTCAGTGAGGGACACAGAGTGGGACATATGTCCAGTCCAAGGGGACACTAGTGAGGATCATTCCTTTGACTGGCCTGGTTCCTCCATGGTGAGGATCTTGTGTTAGGACTGAGGTTATAGAGAAGACTGGGGAAGCACCAGAGCTGAAAGAGGATTCGGTTAAGGTTGGAAAATGATCAAAGTATTGCTCAAATAAAACAATGTGGAATGTTTATTTATGCAAGAAACAGAAATAAAACTGTCTTGAATTACATAGAATACATTGAACCAAGAAATTAGTCATATTTTTCCTTTCTTCTTCTCTGAGGTAAAGAACCGGGAACACACACGTGTTCACTAGGACTAATCTAATAGTTCACATGTTAGTTACCTTAGTTAAGCATTAAACCTGTATTCCTGCGTGTAGTTATGCTCCACCCTGTAAACTAGTTATCACAAGAGCAGAGCGGGCATTTGTGGTGTTTAATCCAAAGGAAGAACATCAGATTAAATGTTGCTCGTTTTAGAAACTGTCACGTGTGCAGTTACACACCCGTGACCATCTTAAATCAGCAAATATAGTTCAAATCTCACAAAGAGAGGCAGACTGCTGCCCATGTACACAACAGTTAGCTACTGTTGGACTAATTTTAATAAATTACCTTTTTATTAACATTTTTGTTGCTTGAGGTCGATGTGGGCGACCCTGTTTGATGGAAATAAACAAGCCATCACGGAGAGCCGCTAAAACTAAGATAATTATAAAAATATTGTAGTAAATAATCTGATTTAGGGTTGGTTTCAAATCCATTTGGCTAGCAATTTCACTTCAACAATTATATGCATCCATCCTTTTCCATACCCGCTCTTGTCCCTGCAGGGCCACAGGGAGCTGGTTTCCGGCAAACAGGCGGGGTATACCCTGGACAGGTTGCCAGTCCATCACAGGGCAACACAGAAACACACAGGACAAACAACCATGCACACACACACTCACACACTCACACATACACACCATAGGACAATTCAGACAGACCAATCAACCTGGCTATCGTGCTTTTGGACCGTGGGAGGAAACCGGAGTACCCGGAGAGAACCCACGCATTAAGACATTTTGGTATATACATACTTGTATATATATGCGTGTGTATATATATATATACAGTGGTTAGTTTGACTCGGTCTAACTTACAAAATGCTCCGTTTGTGACTGAGGATCTTTTTTGTGTGTTATGAACAACAGCAAATGCTGTTCGCTGCCCTACGGGTTTTCATCCTGCAGGTCTGCTGCAGCAGTGGGAGAGCCAGAACTCTAGGGCGAGGCCGGCTTCATCCTTTAATGTTGCAGGAAACGGATTTCTGTTCCTTCGCTCTCTTTCTCCCTCCTGGCGGGGTTTTAAGTGCTCTGCAGTAAAAGTAGAAAGTTTTCTTTTAAACGTAAATCGAGGCTAATTTCTACGCAGCACTATGAAAGAATTATAGGACATGAAAAATTCAGCTGCTCCTTAATGAGCTCTGGTCCTGCAGGATGTCCAAGTCTCTCTCCGCTTCTGTCTCTGAGTGTGTGTGTTTCTGTGTTAGGGAGTGGGGGGGGGGGCACTAGAGACACAATTAACACAGAGATAAATACGTAATGAAGGAAAAATAACTTTCCTTCTAGTTTTTGCACGACTTCCCTTTTCCTGTTAATGGCTTTATGTGTTCTTCTTTTCCCATCTGTTTGTTTGTCTCTCTCTTTCTGTCCTTCTCTGTCCCAACCTGTTTCAGACTCCCTCCTTCTGTCTGTCTGCCTGTCCGTCTGTCTTTCTCTCCGTCTCACAGAAAGCGTGGGTGTTGCTGGGACTCACGGATCCAGCCTGCTGGCACATTTCCCTTCTTAATAATGTCTCTTTGGTGAGGAACCGTGCACATGTGAAGGCATCAAGGCAGCGCGAGCGGGGAACTGTGTTTATGTGCACAACGATTACATCTGCACTCGCATAGCTGTTTTTTTCTTTTGGTTAACACTGTGTGTGGTATTCATTCCACCATTTATCTGCAATTAAAGAATTAACTTAATTGTGGTTCACCAAACAGCCCAGACTCCACCCTGCAGCAGGGGGAGAGAGGCCACCAGGACGCAGAGCAGAGACACACAGATGGGCAGTGACAGACTGAAGACTTCAGCTGAGCCTTTAGCCCAAACGTCAGCGTTTAACTGGATTATTAGAACACACAGATTGCTTTCTGGTCAAAGATTTAAAAAGTGTAGGTTATTATTTTTATAATAACACCTGTTTGGATGTTATTATTAAAATATTAAACAACTATAACCAATAAAAATGGTTTTCGTTTAACCCAGGCCTCTCGTGTCAGCCAGGATCGCTACTGTAGTCCTCAGGGCGCTCTGACCTGCATGTTTTCCACGTCTCTGCTTCAACACACCTGATTTACATTGGCTCCTCAGGAGGACATCAAGTGCTGCAGATGCCTGTTAATCACTCATTCATTTAAGTCGGGTGTGTGGCAGCAGGGAAATCCTGGTGGTTAAAAGGGCAACATGGAAAACACGCAGGACTGTGTGCTCTGAGGACCGGGGTCGGGAAGCACTGCTTTAGGGGACAACGGTGGCAGAGGAGTATACCGCCCCGTAACCGCGTGTCCCCAGGCAAGGCACTAGTATGACCTTGTCAGTTAGTAGCTCCAGGGTCATCTCTACCCGTGTGTGCACGCATGTGTGGGTGAACAACCGTTGTATTGTTAATTGCCTTGAATGAGTTATTTCTAGTCCACTTCTCCTAAAGTCTGTGTTTTGGCAAGTGGTCACACACACACACACACACACACACACACACACACACACACACACACACACACACAGACTGACTTGTGCCAAACATCAATTGAGCAGAAACAATAAGGAAATTATTTATAAGAGGAGACCGTGCCAAATCAAGGCTGGAACACACGAGTGAGGGCTGCAGCTACAGAGATGTGATTGAGAAACGTGATGTAACACACACATACACACACACACACACACACACACACACACACACACACACACACACACACACAGGGTTCCCAGAGCCTCTAACAGAAGCCGCTCATGCTACTCAGCACACGGTCCAGTCCTATGCACACATCGGTGTTGTGTGGCTTCCCTGCACAGCCCCATCTCAGAGGGTAGCACTGCTTTCATTTTTCATGTGTCTGCAGCCAGTTGTCACACTTTAACAAACACCTTTGCTGTCTAAACACAGAATAGCACTTGCAACAGTCAGCGTCAGCGTGAAAGTGTGTGTTTGGGTCACACAGGTGATGTGTGTGGTTGGTTACAGGCTGGCTGGAATCGGAGGCTCGCGTGAGACAAGGAGGGTGTTTGAAGAGGGTTAATCTAATTTTCTGGGGTGTATAAGATCCCCCATAAGTCTACCATCAGCCAGTACAAGTACCAGGCTCCAGACCGGAGATCTCCTGCAACACGCGCGCACACACACACACACACACACACACACACACACACACACACTGGCATCATTGGTTGGCAGGAGTCCTGGTAACAATAGGGTGGCCTCCTCAGCAGCAGCTAGCCAGCATGCGTATTTCTCCGGTCCTCTGAGGTGAGGTTTGTTTTTGACTCCATCCATTGGAGGATTGCTGTAAAGACTCTGACACGAGTCAGTGACTCGATGCAACCTGCTGGGTTCCTTATATAGGAAACTTGTTTCTGATTGGCTTAATGAGCTGACCTGTATTAGAATGTTTACTGTGTGAAGGTCCTTGAGACGACTCTGGTCGTGATTTGGTGCTTTATAAATAAACTTGAACTGAACGGAATCCACTGCATTCAAGCAGAGCGGCTATAATCTATTCTCGTTTATAAAATCTTACATTTAAACTGGTGTCGACCAGTTATTCTCAGCTTTTGTTTTCAGCGAGCACAGCAGCTTGGACCGAAACCCGAAGCGAGTCAGCGGTGGCTGTAGCGAAAAGCACATCATCGATCTCCTTCCACCTAAACTCCACCAACCTTCCTCAGAAACTAATGGGGCATTTCCTCTGATGCCACACCACCCAGTAACACTGTTTACTCTTTGCTGCAGTGGGGCAGACACACACAAACACATGTATACCCACTCTGAGATCAAACAGCACTGTGTGTACTTCAGAGGGAACAAATATGAGCACATCGTAACGACAGACGGGCTCTGTGAGGGTGGCTGCTTTGGGAGGACGTGTCTAGAAAGAGCATCGGAGCAGCGGAGGAGTGCCCATGAGGGAAGCTGCTCCCAAAAAGTTCAGCAAGATCCAGTTTTCAATGTTGGGAGTGTTTTTGAATGTTCCTAATCTATATGAGATCTCAGGTGTGAATAAAATCCCAATAAAGCACATGTCTGAGCAGCGAGTGGTGAACGCTCACCTGGGCCTCCTGTGGCAGGTGAAGGACGGTGTGCAGCCTCTCAGTGTGGTGGTGTCGGGACTCCTCCTCGTAGGCCAGGTCCCTGTCCGTCTGCGGCAGTGTCAGAAACCTCCTGATTGTGCACAAATTGTCCCACAAGGTCCGATTCTCTGGACTGGGGTTCTCCTTCCACCGCAGCAGCTCACACAGCCAGCCCTGGGGAAGGAGAAGAGGTCAAGTGTCATCTTCTCCTGTAAGCTGAGTGCGGCGGTTCTTGACAAACGTGAACAGCGATGAGAAAATGTTATAAAGCAGATTTAAAATCACTAGAAAAGTTTTGACCCTGCAGGCAGTTTGACAAGGAAGATGAAAGAAAACAAAAGATGGAGAAGATTCAATTATGTCTGCTAGACTGCTTCAGTTTGTGACACCAGCTGTTGTGTTCAGCCAGCCTCCTCAGGCGGCGCGCGCCGCTAATAGCCCGATATTCTCTCTCCTCCTCGCTCTCGGTCCTCGTGGCCAGCTGCAGCAGATGGATGCACTGAGCCGTGAACCTCTGCCACCCCCAGAACCCCCCAACCCTACCGCACACACACACACACACACACACACATGACCTCAGTGAGCCACATGCTGCGGCTCCGACACAAACTAAACTCCTGCCTTCTTCTCATGATGAAACTTCAAATGTTCCTGTGAAAGGTTCTGGTGGCGTGTTTCAGACTCTGCAGCTGACTAACACATCTTTATTCTGGGAAATACAGAAGGAAGTTTTTTATCGCTAACTGTATGTTTATTATTGTGAAAAGTGCTACTTTTACAAACATCTGTTTTTTATTGTTCATTTCAGAAAACTGGGATTATTTATTCCAAACTTCCTAATATTCATAAAATCCCATTTTAAAATTTTGTGGCTAATATTTGTTAAAACATTCAAGTGGATGATTTTATCTGAATGAGGACTAGATCGAGCCCAAAAACAGATAAATGTACTTTTACATCGCAGGAAGAATTTCTGAATTTGAAAACATGCTTCAGCTTTCATTTATATTAAATATCGTAGCAGCAGAGAAGTCAATATTATTTAGTATAACAAACTTTGTCCCAGCTAAAAAAAACTCTGAAAGTTCCAGATTTCTCCTGCTGGATTTCATTTTTAAGGCAGCGGCGTCGTCTTCCTCCGCTTATCCGGATCCGGGTCGCGGGGGCTGCATCCCAACTAGGGAGCTCCAGACCGTCCTCTCCCCGGCCACCTCCACCAGCTCCTCCAGCAGGACCCCAAGGCGTTCCCGGACCAGATTGGAGATGTAACCTCTCCAACGTGTCCTGGGTCGACCCGGGGGCCTCCTGCCGGCAGGACATGCCCGAAACACCTCCCCAGGGAGGCGCCCAGGAGGCATCCTGACCAGATGCCCAAACCACCTCAACTGGCTCCTTTCGATCCGGAGGAGCAGCGGTTCTACTCTGAGTCCCTCCCGAATGTCCCAGCTCCTCACCCTATCTCTAAGGTTGAGCCCGGCCACCCTACGGAGGAAACTCATTTCGGCCGCTTGTATCCGCAATCTCGTTCTTTCGGTCATTACCCAAAGCTCATGACCATAGGTGAGGACTGGGACGTAGATCGACCGGTAAATCGAGAGCCTGGCAACGAAACTGGTTTTTGTGATGTCATTTTTAAGCTAATTCAAAATTAAACTTTGTAGAAAGTCGACAAACAAAAGACATGAAAGTTTTCAGCGACGGAAGTCGATGTGATCCGGACCAGAGGAGCCGTTCTGACGCCCACGGACCTGAGGGTCGGGGTCTCTGCTCAGGAATCTCTCACCTGGCTCTTGTTGGCAGCCACCTTTGCAAACAAAGCCTGCGACACCTTGGCTCTCTTCATCTCCTGCTGGATCTCGTCATAAATGCCAGCTGAGATGTGGACCAGCGACTCCAGCTTCAGGGGGATGTCAGAACTGGGGCCGGGGGGTTTGGGCTGGTGGAATGGATCAAAGAACAATCCCAGATTAGAAAATCCTGTTAGGGCACAAAACACTTGCATAGCAGGAAGAGGAACATATTATATATGATTAGAACTGATGCACGTAAGGTAGAGAGTGATGAAACGATAGCTGCTCGACAGAAACAGCATGGTTCGGTCTCTGAAACCACTAAGAGTTGCATCCGAACAGATGTGAGGAAACGCTATCGGCTAGCAATCTGGCCGAGCTGCTCCTAAAGCAGACGCGCCGTGTCCTCTGCACATCTGCAGCACATGTCTCCACATGAGTCTTGTTTACAGATCAAAGTCATTAAGTCCTCCTCTTTTGTCTTTTTCGTTGTTTCTGTTTGAACAGACATGAATTGGCTCTCGGAGAGCTTGTATACACAGTGTTTGAAGTCATCCAGCAGACGAGTGCAGACCTGCTCACTTACATTCCCTCAGTGTAAACGATGCTGAGATAATATTACATAGCCACAATAAGAGGTGCACACAATGCTCAGCTGCAGCCATGAGTGGGCAGCGCCCTGGCGTCTTATCGCTGCCGGTGCTGCATTGTTCTGTTGATGTGAAAGGAACGCTTTAGTGTGCCTTGTGTTTACGGAGAGTTTGTGGGGTGGCTTTGAAGCTGCCTCCAGTAGGAGGTCTCCTCTCGTGGTTCGCTGCCGTGGCGGTTTTAACGATGGTTTGAATGATGGCAGATAACTCACAGAGTTAGAGATCTTGGTCTTGTTCTTCCAGATGGAGGCCCAGGTGTCCGGGGTAATCTGGTCATCCAGGCTCCTCTCCCACACTTTCTATACACACAAACACACTCAGTCTAATCACTCTGATTCCCCCTCTTAGCGTCATAAAGGTTTGAGGAAAAGTGTTTTTAAGCACCGACTCACTCTGACCTGAGAGAGGCGGGGCGCGGCGGGGCTGGAGGAGTTGGAGGCAGGAAGTCCCACAGACGGGTTCATGGTGCGCTCCCGCTCCTCCTGGTAGATCCGGTCTCTCTCACTCTCAGGCAGGTTGAGGAAGTTTTGCATGGCCTTCAGATTGACCAGCAAGGATTGCGAGGCTGTGCGGGGGTCTTCCTCCTTCCTCAGGATCTCTGAGAGCAACCCCTAAGCAAAACAAAACACGCATGAAAACATGTATCTACTCAAGGTCGTGCTGGGGTGCGTTCTTAAAGCTCGCTGAGCACCAGCTCAAAAACCACACGACAGATGACTTCAGCTTATTGAAAGGGCCATCGGAGCATGTGACTGAATGTTCTCAGAAACCAACGTGGCTCTATGAAGACACACACAAAGATGACCAAAACACACCTGGGCTCTGTGGGTCTGGCAGCCGCCTACGTTACACGGGTCTAATGGGGCGTACATTAAAAGTCTGAATGCATCAGGTGTGTGTGCTGCTGCGAGCATGGGGGAGGACACTCATTGGCTCAGCAAGCAGCCTCATCACACTTCTGCTAATCCCACTGAACACACTACAAGGAAGGTGAGCTCCAGCTCCAGCAGCAGACTCTCTCAGTGAGTCAGTGTCTATTTCTACGGCTCCTCTCCTGATGTGTTGAGAACCTCGACCTGGTCGGTGTGAGAAACATTTAGGTCTCTAACGATACCCGGCTCCTGTGCTCCTACCTGAGTACGGTTGAAAGCCACGCGAGCAAACACGGCCTGGGAGACGCTGGCTCGCTTTAGCTCATCTCTGACTTGCTGGTAGATTTCCGAGGAGACCTCAGCTGCTGAAGGATTGCTTCCAGGATGGTCGCCCCCACTTTTGGATGGGCGAGGGATGGGCGGGTGGTTGAGGAACTGCTGGTTGAGGGTTTGGGGGTGCTGATGCGCCAGCAGGCGGCTCACTGCGAGCTGCTGGTTGATGAGGTGGGCCATAGCGAGCTGTTGGCGAACCAGCTGGGGGGAAAGTTGAGGGGAGAGGATCCCACCTGGCCCCAGCAGGGGCTGAAGAGCACCAGGTGGAGGTGGTGGAGGAGGAGGCGGCACCTGTCCTGTCCGGAGAGGAGGGCTGTGGTGAAGGGGGCCATGAGGGGAGGACTGTTGCTGTGGAGGAGGGGGGGGCTGCTGGAGAGGCTGGGAGGGTGTCTGAGGATCACTAGATCCGGCTTTGAGGAGGGGGCTGCTGGCACTCAGGTGGCTGAGCTGGGCCAGACCAGCCAGGTGAGGGGGGGGTCTCTGCCCCAGCACACAGAAGTCAGCCATGCTGTCCCTCTCAACTGGAAGCACAAGAAGAGAGTTGAAACCGGAAACTTCCCTAAAACAGTCGCAGAGATTAGTCTCAGCCCTTACTTTTAATCTCTGCTGGGTCTCGTCCGGGCCACATCTTCTCCAGGTAATCACCTGTTCATCAAAACCAAAAACAAATTCAGCTTCTCCACACTGGTGTCTCACCGCACCTCTGTTCAACACAGTCAGGTCCATGGGTTGTTACAGTTCCAGTCTTTAAACAGGAACATGAAGACGTCCAAAACGTCTTAGCACTGAAAAGCCCCACACAGCCACGGTGTGATCTACACACACCCTCCAGTGTGGCAGGTCAGCTGATTAACTCCCATTCCTAAGGCAGATCCGTCTCTGGTCTTACCTTTGATTTTCTTATACTTCTTATACCAACGACCAAACTCTTGGCATTTGGCGATGGAGACGTTAGCGTAGTAAGAACTGTTCACTATGGAAGAAATCATGCTCTGAGGGACAAGAGAGGACAGGGATTAATAACACACACACACACACACACACACACACACACACACACACACACACACACAATAAGACATTAATCATGGCAGGAAGCCACCCACAGAAGCATGAGCCAGCACTGAGGGAATCTCCAGCCACACAGCCATGTGTTAGTAATTGATGCAGTGATCAACACCCCCACCAGAGTTCCGGTGAAACACAACAAGCAAACACATCACACATGTCCTGAGTGTAGGAAACACATGGTGGAGGATGCTGGTGGAGGTGGTCATCACAAACTGATCAGCCAGACTGCAGGAGAGGGTCTAGGCGTGTTTTCTAACACCACCTCACCTGAGACAGGGGGCACTCTTTGGCCAGAGTACTTTGGTTCATCTCCTTCAGCAGCTCCTTCAGAGCATTCCTGACAGTGGCATGGTTCCACTGCTCACAGGGAAGGTCCTCCAGCTTGGCAAAGCTACAGTCAACCAAAACCAGGCGTCAGTCACAGCTTTATGCCCCCCAATGGCAGCAGCTCAGCTGTTAGAGGATCTTGCTTAATAAATATTAAAATGCTTCACAGTGGAGTAGATGTGCTGAAGGTGAACTGCTGTAAAGTAGCTTAGACATTTATAAAAACAGAAAGATGCAAAACTTCTACAGAAACATCAGGACAGGTGTGTCAAAGTAAAGGCTGTGATAAAGTTTTATAAGTGTTATGGCCACAAACACTACAAGTCCAAAAACGCACTGGAAAAGCTCATCTTCTGGCTTCAGGTAAAATATTCCCTCACACACACACACACACACACACACACACATATATATATATATATATATATATATATATATATATATATATATATATATACCATACCAACTTTATTTATAAAGCACATTTAAAAACGGCATGGCAGCCGACCAAAGTGCTGTACAGAATATATATATATAAAAGATAGAGATGCAGCACAATATATGATTTGCACCGTCCATCCACACACACACTTTTAAACTCCAGCTGTTACTGAAGACGATCCCATACATGATGAGAACTTTGACCCTTGGTTCCGGACGGCATGGACGTAATTTTGGGGGGGGACAGGGGGGACATGTCCCCCCTGTCCCCCCCCCACTTATTTCAAAGTCAAGTTTTGACCCCTGCACTTTTTACCATCCAAAAGCAATATTACGCTATATTAAATTGACACTGGTTGAGCTCTAGGACCAAGCGGAAAACAACTGTTTGTGTTGAAGCCTGTTTCCCATTAGAGCATACTGTAAAGATACCCCCCCCCCCCCCCCCATGTCCCCCCCACTTCTAAAGTGAAAATTACGTCCATGCCGGACGGTCCATGCACCTAAACTTTGTGACTGGACTCTTCTCCATCTAACATCAAGTTGAAACTTTATCTTCAGTAAGCCCACCTGTAATCTGTTCGTTTTAATCTCATTCAAACATCAGAACCGATTGTTTCATCGCTGCTGATGTTGCTATGGAAACACATGCAGACATCAACAAACCCTGCTGGTATTTGTCACAGCAATAACAAAAATAGGTCCCGCTTTATCTGCCCGTCAGCACACTGCTTCACTTGATGTCTGGAATCACACGCTGCCTTGTCCTGACTCAGACAGATCACAGATTACTCTCCCGTTAGGTTTCATTGTTCCACCGATGCAGGAATGACATCAGCTGGTACTTTTCTGTCTGGGCTCAAACAGCATCAACTTTTGCTTTGGCCATAACCGTGCGGTGCCAATCATTTCAACTCTAATGCAAGCAGAGAGACAGGATCTGACCTTTGCAGCTGGATGCGTAGTGTGACCATGTGATAGACCTCCATCAGCATGTCGGCGACAGTCGCCTCTGGTGCGTCGGTGAGAAAATGAACGGGCAGAGGGTTCCACCTCCCCACCTTGATGATGCCTGGACAGAGCCAACAAGTAGGATTTGTTTTTTTCATCATCATCAGTAAAATTTTTACGTTGTTACAGTGCATTTGGTGGAAAACCGGGCAGAGCGTTTAGCAGCAACTCATTAATGACATCCTGCAATCATATTTGACATAAAACTAAAGCTGAAGCATGAAAACCTGCAGCAACAAGACAACGTGGTCTCAACGTCTCCGTTCGGTTAATGGTTTGTTTTTCACTTTTGACCAACACCCTGATATTTCCCCAACATGACGCAAGAGCAGCAAATAAATGAACATAAACCACAAAAACTGCCAGACATGCTTCACATGTCAGGAGTGGAAACTGCTGAAAAACAAATTAAAAACATTTCTTAAGTGTTGATGAAAAATGACTCCCAGAAAAGCTGTTGTTGTAAGATAAATCCCACATGACGAGAGAACAAGTGACACACACACACACACACACAAACAAACACACACACACACACACACACACACACGTGTTTCGTGACATATCAGTACGTATGACAAAAATCACACGTGTGTGTGTGTGTGTGTGTGTGTGTGTGTCTGTGTGTGTGTGTGTGTGTGTGTGTGTGTGTGTGTGTGTGTGTGTGTGTGTGTGTGTTCTGCTAGACAGAACATGCTAACAGGTAAAAACTGTGGAATCGCAATGCAACACAAGAGTTTTTAACACTAAGCTATTGCTTTTAAAATGGTTTCAGTGATTCTTGAAGCAAAACCCTGAGCAACTCCAAAGGGAATATCACTCTGTCGCCCTCTGCTGAAACTGCACTAAACAGTTTTGTGGTTCGGATCAGAACACTAGTGGAGGGTGTCCACATGAATACGTAGACGCTCCATTGGGCGCTGGAGAGCTTAATAGTGTTACCGCCGTCTCCTCACTCTCCAAAATCAATGCAAAGTGAGAAACTATGCCCAATTCTGTGCAGTCTACAGGTACAACAAATGGCGTATTGAAAACACATGTGATCACGTGGGATTACTTGTGACTTTTCTAGCCTACCTGATAGTATTTTATATTTAAATGTATTTTTATTTATTTTGTTTCATTATATTTAGATTTTAATTATCACGCCATTCCCTGAGTCTAATTTTATGAAAATGCTTCATGTAATTTTATTTATTTATTTTTTTGGTTGGATAAGCGCCTTCCTCAGTAGAAATGAACACCCTGGGGGCGAATGGAGACCCATCAAAAAGGGCGGCCAGCCACTACGGCAGCTCCGATAGGCAGTGCCTGTCCATGGGGCGTCTGCGTCTGTGGGAGGAGCCTACCTGCTTTGTGGCAATAGCTGATTACTTCAAAAATTAGCCTGTAGCTAACATAAAAGCTAGCAGTTAGCTTTTTCCATTCACTGGCCATCAACAAAAAGCACAAGAAGTATTTTGCTTACTGACTGGACTGGATGAAGCTGTAACTAAACAAAGCTAACCGCATTACTGTCCTCTAAATGGGATCCAGACGGGTCCTGACATGGATCCCCACTTCTCTTTCTTCTTGACCCTCCTGCCCCTATCCCTAGTTTCCACCCCCCACTCTCTCTCGCTCTCACTCTCAGATACACACATATGCACAAACACACATGCACACACACACACACACACGCACACACACACACACACACACACACACACATATCCAAAGCGTCCTGTGATCTCCTCGTCCCAGGGTGTTTAAGGTTTAGTGGTATCGTTGTCTCTGCTCAGGTCAAACTGTGTTCTTAATTATTTGGCCATGCTGAGGTAGCATCATTAAAACATAATGTACAGAACAGACTCAGCCCTCTCAGGGTGGAGGAGAACCCTAGAGGAACCTCAGACCACCGTGAAGATTGTCAAGAACTGAAACAGAACCAGAGCATGCTCTGTCAGATCAGTCGTGGTCAGTAAACGATCATCTGGACCAAATAGAAAAATATAAAGGGTTTTGTGTCTATGAGCAGTAAATCATCCTTTACCAGTAGATCAAAGACAGAATGAAATGTTTGGTTTGTGCAGGCATCATCTGGTGTGACCGTGTTCACACTTCACACACAGAAAAACCTGTTAATATCCTACCTCTGCCTTCTTCACGTTAATGCAACATCTGAGCATGAGTCTAATTCCAAGCCGGGTGGAAAGAGACGGGTGAATAAACAAACATGAACTCAGAGAGGATATGAGGCAGCACACAGAGAAGTGGACTTGTTCGGCCTAGCATGCAACACACGCACACACACTTACTCACATGCACGTACGCACGCACACATGCACGCACACACACTTACACACATGCACGTACGCACGCACACATGCACTCACACACACTTACACACAAGCACGTACGCACGCACACATGCACGCACACATGCACTCACACACACTTACACACAAGCACGTACGCACGCACACATGCACTCACACACACTTACACACAAGCACGTAAGCACGCACACATGCACTCACACACACTTACACACATGCACGTACGCACGCACACATGCACTCACACACACTTACACACAAGCACGTACGCATGCACACATGCACTCACACACACTTACACACATGCACGTACGTACGCACGCACACATGCACTCACACACACTTACACATGCAAAAACACAAACATACAAACACACACGCACGCACACATGCACTCACACACACTTACACACAAGCACTTACGCATGCACACATGCACTCACACACACTTACACACATGCACGTACGCATGCACACATGCACTCACACACACTTACACACACTTACACATACAAAAACACAAACATACAAACACACACGCACGCACACATGCACACACACTTACACATACAAAAACACAAACATACAAACACACACGCAAGCACACATGCACTCACACACACTTACACACACACACACACTGCCTGATGAGTGCAGTGTGATTTATTAATAATTGATCTGTGATTTTTGGTCCTCTGTCTAATGGGCTGTGCTTTTTGTGTACATTTAAAAGTAGAAATGATTGTTCTCATTTCCACATTAAAATTCCATCTCCCAGAGACGAGCTTTCATGTGGCCGGCTGGTGGCTTGGCTCATGTCTGAGTGTGCCCATCTGCACAAATGCGAACGCACACTGATGTCTCTGACTCGTCTCATCAACACTCACGCAGGGCTGCATGCGTGCACACGGCCTCACGTACACCCGTGTACACAGTAATCCCATTGTCCCATGCTGCATTAAGGCCTATTGGTCTACAGTCTATGTGGGCGGGCTCTAAACTTGCTCCAGGTTCCACGCCTGGCCTCATGGAGGGAAACCCTGCGCTGCTGACTCGAACCTGTCATCCAGATGGAGGCGCTCCTCTCACTGAAAAGCTGCTCTTAGCTTTAGATGTGACCATTGAAACAGTTTTACCCAAAAGTTACATTTAGGCTGCCATCAAAAATTATGAATCTTAATTAATTCAACACAAGCTTTGGGAAAATGATTAGAGTCACTGCTCTCATTCGTCCAAACACCTGTTTTAACAGCTGAAGTTTGCTCTGAGCTGATAGTGAAGCTGTTTTCCTGGCCTGCTCTTAGATGTCCTGTTGATCTGCGGTGTTTAGACGTGGCACCGTTAACCGTTCACAAGCTGAAGCCCTAAAGTACAGGTCTGCTCCCGTCTATTCTATAAAAGCTTTCAAACCCTTATAATTGAAATAAACAATATCTCCCACTTAATTACTGGGCTGAGCTAATTAAAGCAAGGTCACGGTCCCTTAACTACACCACTGGGACACAAGAATGCAGGACACAATACAAACAGGGAGAAAATAGCTCGGACGCTGTGTAATTTTGGTCGTGGACCACAAGGAAAAATGTGTAATTTAAGCCGAAAATTATTCATTTAGCATAAACGCTTCTATCAAAAAACAAAACATGTGTGTGTGTGTGTGTGTGTGTGTGTGTGTGTGTGTGTGTGTGTGTGTGTGTGTGTGTGTGTGTGTGTGTGTGTGTGTGTGTGTGTGTGGGCATCCCTGCAGGTATCTGTATGTGTGTGTGTGTGTGTGTGTGTGTGTGTGTGTGTGTGTGTGTGTGTGTGTGTGTGTGTGTGTGTGTGTGTGTGTGTGTGTGTGTGTGTGTGTGTGTGGGCATCCCTGCAGGTTTCTGTATGTGTGTGTGTGTGTGTGTGTGTGTGTGTGTGTGTGTGTGTGTGTGTGCGTGCGCGCGTGTGTGTCCTTGCAGGTTTCTGTGTGTGTGTGTGTGTGTGTGTGTGTGTGTGTGTGTGTGTGTGTGTGTGTGTGTGTGTGTGTGTGTGTGTGTGTGTGCGTGCGTGTATGTGTGCGGGGGTGGGTGTGTTTGTGTATGTGTGTGTGTGTGTGTGCATGCGTGTGTGTGTGTGTGTGTGTGTGTGTGTGTGTGTGTGTGTGTGTGTGTGTGTGTGTGTGTGTGTGTGTGTGTGAGAGAGAGAGAGAGAGAGAGAGAGAGAGAGAGAGAGAGAGAGAGAGAGAGAGAGAGAGGGTGTTGGGCCTCTACACCAAGTGTCAGAGTGAGTAAAAGTGTGCACTTATGGAAGTGAACCCTGCAGGAGTCTGACTCTAGAGCTTATGTGTGTGTGTGTGGGGGGGGGGGGGTGACCCGCTCCGTGGCGGGCACTGATGTGGACCAGGGTGACTCGCTGATGTGGACCAGGGTGACTTGCTGCTCTCCACACATCCTAATCAGACAGACAGAGACCTCCCCAGATTCTCTCTGAGGTCAAAAGTGTGACTAACAGCATTCATCTGCTAACCATGCGGCTGCATGGGTCGTCCCAGGATGACTCGCTCTATACGTTCAATAGCAGCAGGCTGTTGTTATGAGACACTGGAGAACTTATCAGGTAAAATAGGAACATTACCATAATTTACATCTAGTCAAGTAAAGGTCTTCAGGCAATAAAGGGATTAGCTTCAGAGAGAGAACAGGTTCACCTTTGAACTTTGGTATGTAGCTGGTTTCATTAAGTTCATCTACTTGTGTCTGCACTCACACCACAACTTGTTGGACACACACACACACAGACACACACACACACACACGATGGGGATATCCTGCCGTTATCCCATCCCTCTCTCTCGTTAGGTTATATAACAAAGTGAGGCAACTCCAGATGGAATATTCTGCATACTTGAGAGAAGACAGCAGTAAATGACACTGTCCTGCTGCAATGACTGCCATGTGTGTGACAATAAATTACTGAGCTATTCTTTTTCTCTGCTCCATAAACATTCTCACCCATAATCCACACACACACACACACAATGTGTATTTTCGCCTTGCGGGGACATTCCTGCCCAGCTCTTTGTTGTGTCTTTGATGACATTTACAGGCTTTTGTCTGTGTCTCTGTTGTGTTTTTGGAGCATTCCTTTGCTTATTGCTGCTGTAACAGTGTCTGCTCCAAGCACACAAACTCACACCGACTCTCGGTCCACTTGGACACAGCCCCTCCTGTCCTCCACCCTCAGACCAGCATGGTGGTCAGAAAGCAACGCAAAAGTTTCCTTTTTTGAGTCAAGTTTTGTTAGCAAATTTTTGTGTTTTGGAGCCAGAGCTTGGTTGAGAGTTTTTACTGTAGCTTAGCATCGTCACAACAGATGTAAGTCACCAGCTTCCTGAGAACAGCATCAGAGTTGATAGTGATCCAAAAGGGTTGAGATGAAGGAAAGTGGACTTCTTTGGTTTCTTTAAGACGTTTCGCTTCTCATCTGAGGAGCTTTGTCACGTCTAACTGGATTATGAGAGGGTCAAGCTTATAAACTGTAGCTGTCTGCTGTTATTTAAAGGGACTATAAGGAAGTTTGACAGTGAAAACATGTATAGAAACAATAAATTTCTTCTTCATACATTCTCCTGCAATGCCCTGGTCCTATAGAATGAGTCCTGGCATTTTTACTGTGATTGCCTGTTTTTCTGTAAAATCACAGAAAAAGAGAGATGCTCGGGTCGAGCAGGCTGCTTCATGCGCGTTCACGCTCAGGCATAGCCCGTAGCATTTGCTATCCGTAGCTTTAGCAGCAGAGAGAGAGGCAGTGCCACATCGTCTCTGTTCCTAACGCCTAGTGACAAAGCTAGCTACATTTCTGAGGACCCTTAGCTACTTTCTGTAGAACTTTCTTCTAGATATTTCCTGCAAATTAGCAACAAAATAGCCATTTTCGCTCCGAACCGTTCTTTGGTTTGACGTTGTTTCAGCTGTCATCAAGGATATAAAAATTACAGATACAAAGGACATCACTGGCACTTTAGCTCACCTAGTAAGATGTCGGACTCTCGTGCA